TCTCTACGAGTGCAAAACACACACTAGCTCGAAACAGAATCGTAAATTACCCGAACCTCACCGTGACTACTGTTTGCTTCATCAACGTATCCACTTGCTTTCTCTGCCAGGCTTATATACTAACAAAGAGGGCATCTTGAACACATGCAAACTTCCCTGATCATTCGAGAAACTCTTGCACATCATGTGACTTTTGCTGTTGTAACAGAATGTTCCAAACATACTAGAGTTTGTTAAAGGAAGTGGTATCCTGCTTATGTTGTTGTTCCACTTAGTTTATTATAACTTGTTTCTATTGAAAATTACTGTTAATGAGGTTTGACCACAAATACATGTTTAAAGAAATCCTTAACAAGTCTTATAATTGGTTTCCAAATATAAAATAACTACTTCAAACTTCTTAAGATCAGATAACCTGTATCACCTGGTAAGCTGGCAGATGTTTACATTGAAACGTTTTCAGTGAAGACTAATTACTAAGCTTTGTATCCATTAAATTACTAATTCATCAAACAGTATTTTTGTATTTAATTTTAATTGGTTACTTTTGTTGAGCACAATGCAAAGGATGTTTGACCATAGAAGCATCACAGATAAAAAGAAATAAGGATCGGTGGCTTGGAGAATCAGCTTAAGAGGCTGGTTGAAAATGCTGATAGAAAATATAATGAGGTCATGCTTAGAGAATAACTAACAAAAGCATTTTACACCTAGATACTAGTGATTGACTGATCAAAATGAGTTTGAAATTATTAAAAAGAAATTTTTTAAACATGTTACTTTTTTTCGCCATATAGATTGAAAGCACTGCATATTATTGATTAATCTTGTACTGTTGCATTTTTCAGGTTTAAAGCCTTTATATTTATTTTGTGCGACTCGTTGATTTTATAATGCACACATGGCATTGAAAATTTTAATAATTTGCAAATGACTGACATGTCTTTTGAACTTGGGTAATTTTACAAATTGTATGCTTGAACTGCAAACTGTTATTACGTCATAAAGCTACTCGGTGTGTAGACTACAGATATGTTTTCATATTTCAAAGGTTTATAAATCCAATCAAAGATTAATATTAGTTTGAAAAAAGTATGTATAATTTTTCTAGAATATTGATGAAACCATATAATGAATTAATGTGGGTTAATTATTTTAATAAAATTTTATAGGCTTACTGTTCATTTATTTTCTTATCTGATGTATGTTTTGCACAAAGAAAGAAATCTATAAAGATACAAATTTATAAAAAAAAAATCAATAAATTAACCTAGGGTTAATAAACATTTTCATCTGGCCATATGTAATCTCTGATACTTATTAATTGTCTTTTAATTTATGCTGATATTTGCTAGTGCCACATTGCAGTGAGGCAGTCAGTATGAAGTTATACATTTTAAAAAGTATATTTATAATAAAAATTACAGTAGAAGTGCAAAGAACAATAGCTATGATGTTCAACAAGTGATTATCTAAATCAAGTAGACTTACCTCTGAAATACTAAAAGCTTAATTTCCATGTTGATTTGTTCTCAGTGCTGTATGAAGGTTCTGAGTGTTCTTGACATAATGCAGAGTATGCATCAATTTACTGAGTTCTTCCTCACCCACCTTCCATATGACTTATTGAGTTTGTGTTAGGAGAATATACATAAACTGCTTTCCTGCCGTAATCAATATTTATTGTTGATGGTTGTGTTGTTAACTTTGCTTTACTGAATTCTGAAGTCAGTATTAATTTTGAATTGAATCATCAAGTCTGGATTTTCACATGTTACATACACCTCTGAAATTGTCCCAGAAAAGCATTTCACCCTCTGCACTGGTGCTCTAAGAGAGAATGATACCTTCTTGAAGTGGTCAGAGGATGCCATCTTGTAGCTGACGATGTCTGGCAGGTACCTTTCCCACCTCTTTTTGTATATCCTTGCATAGTATTTGAGACATCGGAGATGAGAAGTCCATTCTCCATATAATTTCTCATAGTGTTAGATATACACGATTGTTCATTTTACTTTTAATACAAGAGTATTATTTAGTTTATATTGTGTGAGCATTAAAGTAAGTTGGTGAAAGTGAAGTTTGACTATGTGTCAGTTTAGCCATAACGGACAATTTCTAAAGTGTGTTTTACAACTTGTATTGTAATAACAGAATAGAAGATAATAGTTTGTCTTGGAAAAGGGTGATCTAAGGTAATTGAACCTGCTTGTATGAACTTTGAAGAAAAAGAGGCAGTTATTTAAAGCTCTGGATACAACTGTGATAACCAGTTGTATAACAATTTTTTTTTGTACACACATTTGACTTGTTTTGATTATATTATTTTAAAACAAGTGGATTGTGTACTATCCATTTATTGTTAAATTGTATCACCAATGATACACAGACACTTACTATAAAGGATCTGACCCTATAAAACCTGACACTTAGCCTTCTGACATAGAAATGCTCCTAATCCAACATTTGAAGCATCAGTATGCAAAAAAATATAGTGTTCACCTTTTCTTGGAAGTTACAAGACAGAGGATTCACATACAGCCTGCTTTAATTTCTGGAATGCATCCTCACACTGGGGGGTCCATTTCCACCTGATATACTTCCTTTGTAACTAATATAAAGGTTCAGCAATTGTAGCAAAGTTTGGAATGAACTGATTGTACCAGGCCCACTTACTCAAAAATGTCTTTAAATTTTTGCAGTTGGGAAGTCTGTAACATCTTTCACTTTGTCATCATTTGTGTGTATTCCCTCAGAAGAGAGTTTAAATACGAAATATGATACTTCTGATTGGCAAAATGTGCCTTTAGAGATTTTTACAGTAAGATTAGCTGTACATAGCTTGTAGAAAACCAATTAAAAGTATTTCAAGTGTTGTTCAGATGTAGGTGAAAACACTATATCATCATCAATATAAGCCTTGGAACATTCAGTAGCTCCTGCTAAAGCCTTATCCATAAGTTTTGGAAGAAGGCAGGTGCATTTTGAAGACCAAAAGGCATCACTTTAAATTGATAAAGTCTCTTATATGTTATGAAAGCAGTTTTATGTCAATCCTCCATCTTAATAGGTATTTACCAATATCCACTGGATAAGTCTAATGTCCTGATACAGGTTGCCCCTGACAAAACATTCCAAATATAACTTGTAAGTGGCAATGGACAGTGGTCAGAATCTGAGACTTGATTTAACTTCCTGTAGTCAACACAGAACCTAAAAATCATTGGTCTTCTCTTTGACAATAACTACTGGAAAAGCCCAAGAAGAAGTGGAATTTTCAGTTAACCCATCATGAAGCATTTCATCCACTTGATCATGTAGCACTTGTAATTTAGTGGGAGAATAATGATAAGGTTTACTAAACACTGACTTTTTATGTCATGGTTATAATACTATGTACAGACAAGTCTGTGAGACCAGGTTTATTGTTAAAAATATCAGCATATTTCAACACAAGTTGCTATAATTGTTCACAGTCTTTACTCTTTAAATATGAACATTGTATTTCTTCAATCAGTATCTTTTCAGTCTCAGAGTCATGCCTAACAGATGGCACATTTAATACAAGAACATTTGTAAAGAAGTTAAGGGTTGCTTCATTTTGCTGAATGAAGTCTAATCCAATAAGACAAGATACAGCAAAATCATTGATGACAACAAAACATTGGTCCACAATGCTATTTGTTACTAATAGTGTTGCTGTAAAATATCCTAACAGTTGACAGTTCATCATTCCATCTGCAAGACACGTTACCTTTACTCCAAGATTTTAGTTGAAATGTTAGACCATTTCTCTTGATTTGTTGCCATATATTTTCATTTAGTACTGAATAATTTGACCCAGTATCTATATGACCTACCACTTTCACACCATTAATTTTTAGGGTTAGGTGTGGCAGATCCGTTTTAGTTGTTGTTAAATAGTTAATGGAGAGTTTTACTTTCACAGGACTCAAAACCTCCTTCTTTGGTCCTAGCTCTTGTTTCCCAACTGTCATTCTTTGTTTTTTGTTCTCTGTTCCCAATTTACATATTTTATTTTCTTGGAATAATGCATAGATAAGTGTCCTATTTGATTACAAGTAAAGCATTCCACAAGTCTATTATGATGCTTAGTTTTAATCACTTGACTATTAAAAGTTTGTTTATTATTATTCTGTTGATGCTCATATTGTTTAGTAAATTTAAGCACATCTGAAATAGATATAAAAATGTGGCATTCCAAGTTATTTTGTAAAGAAACTAGCAATTGTGATATTATATACTTCCCAATTTCTCTTCCTGTAGCTTCAGGATTTTCACAGTTTTACAAATAAACAACTCAACCAACTCCCCTGTATTAGCGTGGTACTTCCTACTAAAGAGTTCCTTAGCCAATATGATATTATTTAATACTCTGGGTACAAATTAGTCAATGTTTATTTAAATTATCCCCAGCATTTGAAAGCCATTTCTGATCCAAAAGTCTTCCACTATTCTAGTGGCCCTCCCCTCAAACAAGAAGTCGCATTTTCCACCTATTTATTCTCAGATACTTAAACATATATAAAAATGTCTTTCTAAACTTTTAAGAAAGTCCAAGACATAAAATCTAACTTACTGTCAAACTTCTCAACATGCAGGGGTGGTGGGTTGACTGCAGTGACGTAATTGATGAATTTTCCACAGGACTGTAAGTAGAATGAACTCTCGACATTTGAGGTTGAGGGAATGGAGACATAGTTTCTCTTGCTAGTAGATCAGTCACCATGCATGTTAACATTTCCACTTGTTCTGTCAATACTGACACAGACTTCTTGAAGCTTGCCATATCAGACTCACTAACCTCCATAGTGACACAGTTATTCTCAAACACTAGCTAACATACGTTTACCTGAACTCAAATTATCGCTGAATTAATCAGTCGATATCATATTGAGAAACAAAAAAAAATCCAAAGTCAAAATTCAATCTCTATGAAAAAGGTCCCTGTTCAGGCACCAATGTAACAGCCTAAAATGAATACGCCTCTACAATCAGGGTTCAACAACAAAAATGCAATTTATTCACAATAACAACACTTAGATATAAATTCAACACAGTTAAAAAACAAATGTTTGGCCAGGACAATTGCAATATTAAAATAATACCTTTCACTATTGATAACAATATCGAGTGACAAATAGCAATAATTATATCCTTCAATGATTCTCTCTCTGTCTTAGTGAAGCTTCTGGCAGGGTATTTATACACAGAGTAGGTCACAAGAGTACAAACTTGTGATCATAAATTTTCACAATGTATGGACTGAATGCATCTCAATAAATCTACACATATTGGCTCTGTAATGCTTGTGTGCAAGTGCTTGGATGGTCATGTTCTCATTCTTCCTGTTCCTGTGACACATGGGACTCACCTACTTCTTCCTTTCCTTACATTCTGGGTGAAGAGTATACCCTAGTTGAGATGAAATGTGGTCTTCCATGAGTGTGTCCCTAAGGAACCCCTGCCATGGAATATTACTCTATGGGCTTCCCTTGGGTGCTTTTTGAAGGGAGCTCACTCATCTAGGTAATACTTTGCACTGGCCCTTCCACCAATTCACTGTGGGATTCTAGATAATTTGTGTTTAGAGGTGAGTTACCATCTTGAAAGTTAATGTTTTCCTAATCAGAAAATGTATTTCTGATAGTTGCTTACTTCCACACACATTTCCAGCTGTCCTTCCCACTATTGGTAAACATTTTGTTTTGTCTCACCAAAGAATGAGGTTACCACATGCATATTAATAGGGGGAGTACTGTGCATGGAGGTTATGTTGCCCTTCTCTTGGTGGAGGGCTTTTATCACATGATGACATCATCATACAAGTTCACGTTAAAACATATGAAATTAAGTGGGAGTTGCCTCAAGACTAGAGACATGCAAATCTTTTAGGCAGATGAGTGAGGAAGATAGGTAATATGTGTGTAGAGGTGATTATCTCTCAGAAATACATTTTCATTTTTCTTTTAATCTAATATCCAGAACCAATAAAGGTATGGTAAAGTTGTTCAGTTTAATTTGTTAAATTGTATGCTAAGTCATGCATGGTTGTTAGAGCTTTTAACATAAGAAAGGAAAATTACTCTACTGTGGCTATGGATGTGATGCTTTCAGTTTCACCAACATTCATACAGGTTTCTCAGAAACTGACTTTGTTTTAGCTGCTTTAGAACAAGCAGAGGAACATCTGAGTCTGAAGAATCATAAGTCATTTGTAAAACCCATCTGTAATGCTCACCTACAACAGTCTGTCAACTTTCAAACATTATTTTTTATATTTATACATAAACAAGTAAAGAGTGTGATATTTCTTTTACTTCCATATGAAAATAACCATATATGTTTTTGTAATGTGTTCACCATTGACCCGTGCATGCATAGATGACCCGCAAGATTGGTGTGTTAGAATCAGCTTTGGAACAAGCAGAACAAAGAGTTAATGAGGGAGAGAGGTGAGATATACAAAGTTTAATATACAGTAACAGTTGTAGTTATATAATAAATATTTATGTATACATCTATTTTTTGAGATGAACTATAAAAAAATTGGGGTTTTTGAGTTCTTTTTTAATTCATTCACCATACAGCAACCTAAATTAATTTACTTATGTGAGTAATGTTATGACATTTTGCCTAATTTGTTCTTCAGTATTATTCAGCAGATCAACTGTTTAATGATTTTATAAACATGTTGAAGATTTCTTGTCTTTTCCACCAAAGATGAAATTGGAAAGAAAATCTATGATGTAGAGGCTTAATGCAATCTTTGATTGGCTGTACCCTCTGCTGTGTATTGTAGTTTTGTCTGTTCAAGACTTATCAGTATAGTTTGGATCAGCAAACCAAAGAAATACAGTTAAGCTTCTTATAACTGTGAAACGTTTATAATATCCATGGGTTTATTGAGTCCTATTTAATTCACCACACAGAATCCTAAATTTATTTAACATAACGTAATGTTTTGGGACAACATGGGACCTATTGGTCCATCTCAGCTGTTCCATCCTCTAAACTAATAGAAAATAAAAAAACTTAAAAGCCAGCCCTTATCATTCATGTAGATATCAAGCTTTTTCTTAAACTCACTTAAATTTACTACCTGTACAACATCCAAAGGCAACCCATTCCAAAGGCTAACCACCCTGTCAGAAAAATGAAACTGTCTTAGCTGAAGATGACACCTACCTTGCCAAAATTTATATTTGTGTTCCCTAGTCTTACTACTCTCACTGTTAAATATGAAAAAAGGTGATGCATAAACAGTATCAATTCCATTTACAATCTTAAACACCTCAATCAGAACCTCCCAAAACCTTCTTTTTACAAGAGAAAACAATTTGAGAGATTTCAGCCTCTCCTCATATGACAACCCCTCCATCCCAGGCACCATTCTAGTAACCCTTTACAAACAATTCAATGTCTTTCCTAAGGTAAAGAGCCCGTGATTGAACACAATATTCCAAATGTGACTTAACCAGTGACCTGTACAAAGAAATTATAACCTCTTTAGACTTGTATTCAATATTTCTGTAGATACAACGTAAAATCCTATTTGCCCTTCCACTAGCAACAGCACACTGCTTGGATGGCTTTAGACTGATTGACTATTGCACCAAGATCCCTTTCCTTCATAACACTATTGGGGTTATTCCCATCCAAATTATACTTATAATTCAAATTATGATAACCCACATGTGCATTATCTCGAATTTATTATAAATAAAACCCATCTGCCATTTATTTTCTCAACTCACTAAATGATCTAAATCCTTTTGTAAATCAGCAAGATCCTCTTCACAGCTAGCAACACCCAAGACCTTAATATTATCTGCAAATTTAAGTAATTTATTGATTATTCCTTCATCTATAGAGATAATGTTTTACAAACCTTTTATGTGGCATCTTGTCAAATGCTTTCTGAAAATCCAGATACACCAAATCTACACCCTTACCCTAATCTATATAGCTTACCTTTTCAAAGAATGTTAAAAGATTTGTAAGTCAAAATTTTCCCTCAGTGAAACCATGTTGATATCCAATAAAATTCTAAATTTTGTTAATTGACTTTTCAAAGCATCTTTTAACAGACTTTCCAAAACTTTTCCGACAATTGATGTAAGGCTAATGGGTCTATAATTACTAGGAAAATTTTTCAGTCCACTATTCAAGAACTGACAAAAAATAGTAGTAAGTGGCTTACATATCCAATCTCTAACCTCTTTCAAAACCCTTGGGGAAATCATATCTGGCCCAGTAGCCTTATTGTTTTTTAAACTTCCCAATTTTTTCTTAACCAATTCAGAATTAATGCAGTCATCTTGTTTGATGAGACAATAAACTAGTTTTTAGATTCGATGACGAGAAACCCACTTTGAGACTAATAATGCTAAGAGACGGCTCTAAGCATTATTAGTCTTTATATTGTATATATTTAATAAAACAATGTATTTATCAAATATACGATTTACCAGTAAGTTGAAATATACCGAAGCCTAAAGTACCGTTACGCGTACTAAACCAATTTTAACGTTCTAATAATTTGCACCACTAAACTCTAAGTTAAAACTTTGACCGTCATACTTTTATTTACCAATCTTACTATATCTAGTTATTATTTTGTTATTTAACCCAAATTACTAAAAATAATAATAACATTACGTAACTTACAGAAATATTCAATCGCGCTCTCTTCATTAAACACAGATACAAGTGTGGCTCAAAACATGGCAAACATTCAGCAGCTGATAACCAAACGTAATCATAAAGTCACTGCTTTGTTTTAAAAACTATACTAGGCTAATAACGAAAAAATACATACATATTAATAGGCATATTTTACAACATTTTATACAACCGTTAAATCATCTACAGCACAAAGACTCAGCTTTATTGTTAATATCGTAGTATTCCATGTCTATTGTTCCACGGAATTAATTAAGAAAACGAAAAACTCTACAGTATATGATGAACAGTGAAATGTCCTAGTTCTAAATGATCCTGTCATGGAATTATCTAAAAAAAGAAAAAAAAAACACGAATAGCTGGTGTTTTTATTATTATTATTGTCTATAGTTCCAGATGATTCCGCATTGGAATTAAGTAACAAAACGAAGTTTTCTTCATTCGATGGAATAGCTAGAAAACTTCACCATCGTTACAATACACGGTGGGTAACAATCAACAATAATACAATGTTATATTCTTTCAGTGGAATAGTTAGAAATTTTCATCATCATTACATCTCATGATGGGTGGTAATCAACAATAATATAATGTTATGTTCATTCTGTGGAATAGGAAAAATGGGCAACAATCAACAATAATATAATGTTATGATCATCGAGTGGAATAGTTAAAACACTTCAACATCTTTACAACACATGATGGGTAACTACCAACAATAATATAATGTTATGTTCATATAGTGGAATAGGTAGAAAACTTTATAGTAGTTACAAAACATGATGGGCTACAGTCAACAATAATATAATGTTATGATCATCGAGTGGAATAGTTAAAACACTTCAACATCTTTACAACACATGATGGGTAACAACCAACAATAATATAATGTTATGTTCATACAGTGGAATAGGTAGAAAACTTTATAGTAGTTACAAAACATGATGGGCTACAGTCAACAATAATATAATGTTATGTTCATACAGTGGAATAGGTAGAAAACTTTATAGTAGTTACAAAACATGATGGGCTACAGTCAACAATAATATAATGTTATGTTCATACAGTGGAATAGGTAGAAAACTTTATAGTAGTTACAAAACATGATGGGCTACAATCAATATTAATATTATGTTATGTTAATCTTGTGGAGTGATAGAAAATTTCATCATTTTTACAACTCATGATGGGTAACAATCAACAATAATATAATGTAATGTTATTTAGCGATTTGATTTTTATAAATCATTGAATTTGATACAGTTATGGCTTATAAATTTATAGATTTATACAAGTATACATAATAAACTATGAAAACGTTATTATTCACCTTTTACTACATATATTTAGGTAATTGGTTGGTTATTATATGGGAAGCAGGATTTTATTGTCACTCAGTCAAGACCACCACATAATTTTTCACTATTGTTTCATCATAGTTTGATTTCAAGTTGTAGTTTACTGTTATAAAAACAAACAATATATTCATCCTAAAATTCCCGTTGATGCGTGTATGTATCCAATGGCTTTTGAAATGCGTTTTTAAAAAGAATGTATGTATAATATAGTTGTGGGTTTATAACTTTGTTAGTTATATGACCTCTAATAACATAAGAAACACTCCCGTCTGTTAATCCCACTGGATACAGCAAGGATTTTTAGCTGTGACCAAACTCAACATAAAATTATTCAATGTGTGAACCCTGTAAGGAAAAATAATTTAACGGCTAAACTCAAAAGATCCTGTCAGGTATTTGAATTACAGCATTGATCAAAGTGTATATAGATATACAAAAATACAGCATTGATCAAAGTTCATAGAAATACACAAAATACATCATTGATCAAAATGAATAGAAATACACAAAATACATCATTGATTAAAGTGTATAAAAATACACGGAAAACTAAACATGTTATTTTGAATTTACTTATTACTAGCCATGAGCTACAGGTTTACTGATATTTTCCATTATAGGAGAAAGTACAGTGTTTTGTCGGGGTTTCTTTTACTAACACAATAGTAGCATTTAGTCACGAACTCTGGCTTATCACACTTTAAACCTAACAACAATACAGTAGCTGTATAAGAAAATTAACCTCAAAAATTTGCAGCATTGTTTATTATTCTCGACATTCATATTTTTAGCCGTTGTAAACGAAAAGTACATTTGAAATTAAGACAGCTGGTATCGTCGGCATATGGGCGTGGTTTTTACCAGTAAATAATTAATGTGGGACAATTGTTATGAAACAACACTAGTAATATTATCGAAAAAAAAACGTTACATGTGAACAGAATATATCTGTCTCCAATCAGGCTACGAACTCTATGAAGTGTGAATTAAATTAACTTGACCTTACTCTGCACGGGATTATTTTTCCAGATAATCATTACAACTGTAATTAAGTAGACAAGTTTCGTGTGGGAAATAGTTTCTCAGTTCGATATTTTTCTTTCAGATCTGTTCCTTATATTTTTTCTTATTTTTCTACGATAAGAAATAAGTATGTATCATATATATATATATAGACTTAAAATGTTATTAAACGTTCACTAGGATTTTCTATATTGGGGGTTTTGGTGAGGGTTGGTAATATGCCATATGAGTGAAATTCCACTTTTCACCCCAAATAGGATACTCAATTTTTTTAGACGTTTCTAAATCAAAACAATTTCGTGTGTACAATACCACAGCAATACGCGTGTACAATACCACAGAATTACGTGTGTACAGTACCACAGCATTACGTGTGTGCCAAACCACAGCAAT